GGATGCTGGGCTCCGCTGAACAACAGTGCCTCTGTTGTTCACTCCCCTACCTGTTTTAACATTTTTATCTCTCATGCTTTTCACCCAACAATAGTTCCTTGTTTGTCCTTCAAGGAATTACCATCCTTCTGATGAAGAAGTCAGGGGATTTCCAGCCCATATTCAATTCAATCCTTCCCCAAAACTGGGAAATTTTTAGATCTCTTCCCAGACTGTATTATTTCTCCAAATAAATTCCCCAGTAATTTCACTTCTGAAATCTGGTAATCCTGTAATTCAGGTTTTACAATCCTAAATTCAAGTGCTTCATTCCTTTGTTACAGAGGATTTTGCACCATATAAGGACCAAAAAACAAAATAAACAAACAAACCCAAAAAACACACCACAAACCGAAAACAACAAAAAAACCACCAACCAAACAACATTAACCTCCAAAGCAATCCTCCATGTGATATTTTATATCTTAGCCCCCCTAAAGCATAGTGTGGACTTGAGACTTGATACAAGGATTGTGCTTGAAGCTACAGTTGCACCTTGGAGAGACAAAGAGGGCAGAAAACTCTCTGCTTCTTTAGTGCGGCTGCTGACTCTTTTCTTCCAAAAACTCCCCAGAGCCATTTCAGGAGTTGCTCACCTATATGTACTTAGTTCTCTGATCACTGGCCCAGAGCTATTTAGAGGTGAGCTGTGTTTCTCACACAGATCTCAAGTCAGCAGATAGGACTACTTGTCAGCTGAGTCATTTCTGCCAGCTTTGCATTAAGTACCATGGCTGGAGGGGATGTGTGGCAGAATTTAGGCCAAGTAGGAGGGCAATAACTCAGCATCACTCAACAGCAAACTCCCTGCCATCATGCCAAAAACACAGGCAAGAGTTTAAATAAGAGCATGTCATAGCTGCATGCAAGAGGTCCTGACTCTCCCCACAGCCTCAGAAGCAGGAGGATCTACACTGGCATGAGGGTAACCTGAGGTGGCACTCACACAACCTGATGAGATGCCCGACAGAGAGAAGACAAGAAAGCCAAACTACTCACAGAACCACACTGTACATCCAAAATTGCAGTTTGGATCATGTTAACTGCAAATTCTATGCAGAAAAAATTATGGAGGGAGGAAGAAGAAAGAATGAATATCAAGATAACGTGCATTAAAATAAACTGCACAGGACCGGAGAGCAGAAAAGGTGGATATTCAAGATACCATCTGGTCTCATTATCAAACACATTTCTTTTCCTCATTTGAATGTGTAACCAAACAATGGCTACAAAATCACTCCAGGGCAGCCCCAGGGTTTCTGTCTGCTCAGAGGCCCATGATCCTGATGCTGCAAAGGGGCAACACAAAGAAATCATGAAGTGTTCCCTGCAACAATCACCTTCATTTTCCTATCTGTCTGATTGCAATTGCTAAAAAATGAATAATTGCACCCCAGCCTCTGAAAAAATTACTAAACTACCCCTAAAGATACACCCCACCTGAAAATAATGCAATAGATATCTGAAGATCCTCTCCTCTCTGAAATTCAGATTCAGGATTTTGTTCAGGCACATTCCAGAGATACGGTGGAGTCCGTGATAAAGCAGCAATACCGGTTCTGCAAATATGCCTCCTCAAAGCTTGGGGGCAACTTGAGGTAAAAAAATCCAAGCTCATTTGAAAACTGCTGGGAGGTTACAAAGATTTCAAAACCATGCAAAATTCAGCATCAAGCAAAGCCAAGCTACCACCCAGCAAAGCAACCTTCAAAACATGTTGCAATTTCGAATGGCTTGTAGGTTGTGTTTGCATTGGACATCTTTCTAAGAGTCTCCAGCAAGAGAGGGGAACATCAGCACTGAAGATCGCAGGAAAGACAGACACCAGGAAAACATATGCACAAGGCAAGGTCCCTGCAGCCAAGTCCTGCCTGTAAATCTGGGCAGCTGACATTACAGATGTCTAGTTGACGTTACAGATGTCTTCCCGTTGCCCTGTTGCTAAGAATGGCTGTTCTGAGAAGACAGATTGAGACAGGTCAGTGAGTACACACAAAATACTGCTCAGACACCTAGAAATATACCAGGTCAACAAACTACATCAAGACATGGGGCTGAGTTACTGGTCCCCATTTAAGAGATCAAATTGGTGCCGTGTCAATAAACAAATAGTAAAGGAGATGGCAGAAATCCTTAGCCCTTTCCATCTCTTCCCTTTGCTGCTTTTTCTCTTCTGCCCCAATTCTGAGCCTTGGTACGAAGCCCCGAGGTTTCAAAGCAGCACAGCAGCAAGGATCGCTGGAGGGAATCAGTGGTGGGGTCAAATTGCTCTGGATACATGATTGCCTGTTCCAGGGAGGAGGGAGAAGGCAGGGTGAACGCAAGAGCTCTGTAGCAGCAATCAAAAACCCACAGCAGCCCCCAGGGCGTAAAAGGCTAAAAAGTTTCCTGATAACATAAGGCAGAGCCTAAAACAAACAATGTTGTGGTATTCCTGCCTGGCAGGCACAAATTCTCTCCCTCACCTCCAAGCTTCCAGAGCTCCCATCAAAACAATTACATTATAAAAACTGCTGAAACCAGAGCTTTTCAAGGAGGCCAGTCACGAAGTCACTGCACAAGGAAAAAGTAAGCAGGGAGTGTCGCAGAGGTGGGAACCCTTCTTCCTGTGGTGGCTGCATATTGGCGTGTATTAAACACAGACACAACAATAAGCAATAAATCACAGCCCAGGAGAAGTGCCAGGTGGAATGCACTGGAGGAAATTAAAATATCCTTCTTGATACTGTTCAGTATTGAAAGAAATACAAAGGAGGTCAAGTTGACTTATCACCTACATAGCCAGGATGCTAAGGGGAGAAAGGGTTTCAACATTTGCAGAGAAAAATTTGCAAACAAAACCAAACCTTAGCTTTAAATATAATAATAATAATATCACAATCATCCTTTCAAACAAATAAATAAATAGTGACCTTCCTTGGCTTTCCTATGTTTTCTTCTTTTTTCCTTCCTTTTTTCAAATGCACAGTCCCTCTTACAAGGGACCTGTAGGGTGAAGGATCCTCTGCAATGCACACAAATACACTAGCTGGCCAGCACCCAAATTCAGCAAATTCTGACCTCCCACATCTCATCCCACTATACCGTTAGGAGACCCTATCTCAGGTACTTTGGTATTGCCCAGAGACTGGCTTATATTGCCTAAAAGTATCATGAAACTAGTCAGTGGAGGCAAAATTTGAGTCTCCGTGCCCTAAAGAACTCGGCTGCTTTCCTATTTCACTGAAAAGTACCTCCAGAAAGTTTGTTTTGGAAAAAACCAGCATTGGTACACAAGCTTCCCAGTAATTTCAGCCGGGACTTAGTGCTATACGATGCACAAAACTGAGGCTGCTTTTGGTCACCAGCAGGCAAGAGAAGGTTTTCGTTTTGCTGAGATAAGCTTCTACAAGTAGGGGGCTGCTCTGCAGCCTCCAGGTTCTAAATATATTGCTCCTTCGAGGCCCCCCCACCCATCTGCTCTCCAGGCACTGCTTTTTCCCTGCTTGCTCCTTTTTAAGGCAATTCAGCAAACCTCCACCATTTGAGCTTTAACGGAAGTGTCATGCAAAGTATTCAGGCAGGCTGAAAATGGGACACCATCTATAAATTACCAGAAAGCTGAACTCAAGATTAGCAAAAGAAAGAAAAAGAAGAACTCATTTGTCTCGAAACTGGATCACATAAATGTATACACACATAAATATTCTCAAACTGAAACTCTCCAGGACAGCCCAAAGAGGACAGCTGTTATGTTCTACCTTTTAAAATCTCTGCTTTTAAGGGTTGAGGACAGGAGGGCATTTTCCAGCTGTGATTCTCTTTCTCTTACTAAACACTTTTGTGTCCATCTCTGTATCAGCAACTAAACCTTTACACATTAAACGCTTCTGTGTCAAGATTCAATAATGACCAAGTTATATTTTCTGAAAGGGATAATTAAGAGATTCAGTGAAAACAGAAAGTGCTGTCATTTTTATATTTAGACATGCATGAATTTAGTACAAGCTGATAAACTCTACTTGTTGAAAATAAAATTATGGTGACATTTTCTATATCAGTTTTTTTGGCAAGACAGGGACATATTGCAGTAGGCCATGGAAGAGGGAATCTGTTTAGAGGTTGCTAACAAAATCCTTCCTCTAGTCTAGCACGGAGGACATCAGTTTCACACAAAACTCTCATCAAGGAAAGCAAGGCAAAAGCATGAGAGGAGAAGGAGAACTATTTTCAAGAGACGTAAACAAGCAGTTGCCTGCTGCAGACCACACTACATGCTCAGTGAGGTTATTTAAGCATCTGTCTCAATCAATTGGTATCAGACTCTTTCACCTGCTTAAATGGAGGGGTGCCATTTGGATGCAAAAACCTTCTCCTCACACTTCTGGGTGGAAAACTGCTCTGGAGCCAGGGCTGACAATTAAAAAAAGGCATTTTTCCTACTCCCTTTAAAAGGTACAATCAAGGCACAGAATCTCTCCAGGTGTAAGAGGTGTCACACATAGTTGAGATGAGCTATTGATTTCCAAAAGCAATAACAAGCTGCCACACAGCCCAGCCCTGCCTCATCATATGTTTGAGAGGTGATCACTCAGATAAGAAAGAAAAGGCTGGCTGCAACCCAAATTCAGAAACCTTCAACCCTACTGCCAACAAGAACCACCAGCAAAACACATGGACTTAATAAAAGCAACACTGAAATATTGAGTTTTTTTTTAAAAAGAAATAAATATTGTAAGCGCTTCCTCGATAAACATACAATTAATTTCTGATGAGGACTAATTAATATTTACCAAAAAAACACTGCTTATCCTCATTGCTCCTGTCATGAATGTATGTCAGGAGATACACTTTAGCAGTGTCTTTTGTCTCTTAGAGATGAAAAAAAAAGCCTTCTGAACCGAATCAGACTGGAATATGTTTCCCTGGTGCTTTCCTTTTTAACCTGTAGTGGGATATATCAGAGCTGTAAATTTACTTACCCTTCTGTTCTGTACATGGAGCATCTCTCCAGAGGAATTTTTAGCACTCCATTATTTAAGCCCACAAAGAGCGACCTGTCGCTGTGCAGGATTTGGAGACTCTTGATTGCTTCCCGTTGTCCATCAGGGAGGATCTGCATTTCCTCTAAATAACAACTCCTTAGGCTCCTGTTAGTGGTAGAAAGGGCCTTCAAGATGGTGCCATACTCTAATAGAACAAGAAACAATGCACAAGTAAATCTTAGAGGCACTGACTTTATTTCATACCTGCCCAAAGAGTGAAATATTGATGTCATCTTTACAGAGCTGCTTTAAACTTAGTTCTGGGTCACCTGCTGCCCATGGTAGAGAGTGGGAGCTACATCATTACAATACTCAGCAGAAACCACCTGAGAATGCATTTTAATGGGAACTCAGAAGGATGTGAACCATCTGGAGAGTGAGCACCTGGCAATATTTCCCAGTGAAGCAGAGGAGTCTGGTCCCATTACCTGTGAGTTACATAGCAAGGTGACCTAAGATTGCTGGGATCACTTCTGGTGCCTTGAGTCTGTATTTCTATTGGTTTATGGAGCAGATCGGTGTGGTTTGATGCCATGACAAATGACAACAGATGCAGCAGCCCTGCTGGAAATCCCTGAGGCCTCTGTAATGACTGCATGGGTCATGGACCTAATTGATCCTCTTCCTGGCAGAAGCAATCCTGCCAGCTTGACAAGGGAATGAGAACTGCATACTCAGAAACATACATGTTTGTGTTCACAGTGCTCTTAACTAAGCAATTTAAGGATCTGCTAAACTGTGGGAGGTTAATGCTGGGGAAAAGGGGACAACCACAGCATTTTTCATTAAAACCCCCAAGAGGTCTGTCGACCCTGATTGTTCCTGAAGCTTAATCTCTCTGTCCTGATAACTTCTGCATTGGTGCCAAACCTTAGCAATTTTCAGTGGTGAGGTTGGCTGCCATGTGAAGTTTCTCTTTCACTTAGGAGGGCCTTATGTGTGGAACAAGACTGAAATCCAAGTCTAGGCTTGGTTTGTCTCAGGACTGGCTTTGTGTTCAGGGCTGCCTCTGGGCAGGGCTGTCTCTACTGAAGCATTTCACTGGTTTAAATGTTTCCAGCAGACCTTCCTCATCAGTCACCACTAGCCAGGGCCAGAAAGCAAACGCAAATAAGGAGGTAAGGTAATGGCAGTGGACCTTTCTACACTAATGATATGAAGCAGAAACTATTTCATCTTTCTCCTGGGCTTTGTAGCTTGGACTCCTCACTTTATATATCAGGATAGCAAAATGGCAGAACCATGTTGTATTTCCATTTAAGTACAGTCTTCTCATCATAATCAATGTCTGTGGAGGCTTCCACAGTGAGAGTGTTGCTAGAACACATCCAAGATGATCACTTTGAAATAAGTGGTGGTAAAAGTTAGATAAATTATGACATAGTCCTGAAGGTCCATTCTCCTGAACATCAGAATGAGGCAATGACTCTGCATTCAGATGTGAGATTAAACTAACACTTATGGAGGCAATCCATCTTATTCTAAAGTCAAAGCTTCTGCAATAGAGGATAACAACATTATACCCATGAGGCTGGCCATATGCTCTGATTAATCAAACTATTTAATTTAACCTCTATCATTAGTATGAATATGGGCTAAGACAACCATTTATAACACTTTGTCCTTCTTCAGCATCTTTCATTTATCCAAGATATCTGTGCTTTTCAGAAGAGGAAATGTGTCCTGCTAATTAGAGGATAGCAGTTGAAATCAAGAGACTAAATCATATACTTAATTCTACCACTGGCTCGCTATGATACCACAAAAAAGCACTTGCTTCAGCTTCCCTATCTGCACTACACTGCAGTGCATGCCCATTCCCAAAAACACTGGCAGTCATACACCAGTAGGTACGTGGAAGTACAGAGAAAGACATAATTAAAACCCTGGGCAAGCTTGGAGGCTAAGCATTATTATTGCTTACTCAAGAGATGAGAATGTCATAGCACAGAAAAGCAACTTACAGGTGTGAAACCACAGAGCATTCCAGTGACCTCTCCTCTTTCCCCACTGTTATGTATTAGCCTGAGTAGTTAAAACATGTTTTTATAAGACGGAGAGAAATGTTGTTTTTAAACACAATGTAGATTTATGGTCTGATCACTTGGGACTGTGCCTCCATCCTGCTTTTAATTTACTCAGGCAAACTAACTTCCATGCAGTTTTGTGCCAAAATCATACTGAATGACAAGTCTGTAAGGACATCACGACTGGGCTCCCAGGGCCGCTAGGTCTACAGGCAAGTGGAGGGAACTGTCTCAAGCCCTGATACCCTTACCTGTTCCAATATACATCACGTGGTAGAGAGTATCCTTCCCCTGAACAATATCAACCACCAGTTTGGAAAATCGAATGCTGTCCTGAGTCACGTACGGATCTACAGTCACCGGCTGCACGACATCATTCATCAGGAACAGGCGCTGTGCATCCTGCAGGACTCTCTCCGTCAGGTTCTCATTAGGGCTGTCATCATTCAGCGTCCCACACTAAATATGGAAGATTGAACTTCAGCAAATGCATTTTCTCCCCACTCCAATATGGAAACTCATGTCCTGTAGATTTCCTGGGGAGATGGGTCTGTGTAAGGGTCACAGGATCAGGCCCATAGCCTGATCATAGGTCCTTAGCCTAGATTTGGCCTTTAACCCACTCTTTAAAAATGTTTCTCCCAGCTTGTCCGCTGACCAGCAATGTGGAGTTTCATTCCCTTGTGATACCCTCAGGCAGCATACCAGAAGGGCAAAAGGTATTAGCAAACCAGGGAGAAAAAGAAAGAATTAAAACTAGCTGTAGAAAGATTTAAAGCTAGCAGTGGGGAGAAAGTTTTTGTGGTGATAAATCCTTGAAGCATTTCAAATAATCTTCAGACTCTACCTGGCATCTCAATCTGTACAACGAACAAAAAATGGAGTTTAAAAAACCTGAAAATGTATTTGTTTTGCATCAAAGAACCAAACTTGCCACACTGCTTTTCTTCGATCCCTTTTGAACAGACCCCCCCACTTCCATCTGATTCAAGGCAAGTTATCCACTACCGCCTCCCTCCCTGCATACAGCTCTTCTGTCCTCACAGAAAGCCGTGTCCACCCATCCTCCAGCACCAAGGAGCGCACTGAAATAGGACTCAATTCCTTCTCCAACCAGAATAGAGGGGAAGAAGAGAGCTCATCTTGTGTCTTTCAAACACCAGATAAGTCCTGCCTGGTGGATCATGCATTTTAAGGCCTGAGTTTCTATCTTAAAATCTCTAGAATTCAGCATTTTCAAAAGCCAGTGCAAGTTTCATGTCAGTAGCCAGGGCTGAATCTCACTCTTTCCCACAATGTCATGCATGGTGGGCAGAAAATTTATTACTCCAAAAGGCAGCTGGGTGACTGGTTATTTATCTTGCCCAAGACCATGGGAGTCCGTGGTACAACCAGAAATCCTGCCAACTCCCATACTCAGTACATGATTAACTTCGTTTCTCACTAACTGAGTAACTAACACCTGAGTAATTTCACTAGAAGAAGATCCCACAAATTTATTTTTCTTCATTTTGGGTCCAGATGTTTGGGCTTTCCTTGGAAGTCACAATACTGAGAATTAAGATGTTGATTTACAGCACTCCAGCTACAGTGTAAAAATTTCCCATGTCCATACTCTTGATGTGCATCACAGCAACTCTTTGCAGTACAGCTGCCTTTCCCAAGTGCACCACACAGACCTTCTCTTACTATGTGCTAAAATGAGTTGTGAGGAATATAGCACACATTTACACAATAAATACGGATCTCAATGTCTGATGTACTAAGCCCTACAATATTTTGGAGGTTGTGTAAACTAGGAGAACAGAATTATACTAATTCTCACCACCTATGAACGTGGTCACTTTTTAATCAACTTGAGCATCTTCCTAAGTAGCCAAACTAAAGAAACATCAGTACGTTTTTGATGTGTCCTCAGGTAGGTTTTAATGCTTTTTTCTACTGCAAGAGTCTTTTTTTAGTTCATGACTCATCCCACATTCTAAAGAGTTTTTAGATCTCTCTCTTCTGCTGTATCCTATACTCCTTCTGGTTCTCACTACTGTCTTGCTTTGGATGCTTTTCTCCCCACTCACTTTCCTTTCTAGAGTACCACCTAAAAGGAGTCCTAGTGGCAGGAATGTCATTGTTGGTTTTGTTTTCTGTTCTCAACAAGTCACAGATAATCCTTTTGGTCTACTGGCAGATCATGTGCTGACACAGCATCCCCCTAGTTTGGTTTTATTTTGTTTTGTTCTAATTTCCTGATTATCTGCACTGTCCTGATCCTCTGTATCCTTCAGTATTTCTCCTTCCTTTCCACAAGAAAAAAAGTTCTGGCATGCTTCCTTCATCTTCCTTGGCTAACACTGAGGCAAAAAACTAATTTAATTTTTTTTGCAATATCTACCTCTTCTGTCACTAAATTACCCTTGTCATCTCCTAAAGGTCCCTCACTGACCTCTTGTTCCTTCTGTACTTGAAAAACATCTTAATCTCTTCTTGCAATCTTCCTTTTGTCTGCCACATACCTCCTTTTCCTTTCCTTATTTTCCTCTGACCCTTTTCTTTCATCTTGCTGCTGCAATCTTTACACTCCACATTTTATCTGATACTTCTTACTACATGGAAATGCTTTCCAAAGTCCTTTTTTATTCCTTCTGGGTTATGTGAGGGACAGAAAGTCCTTGATTCTCAGCTAGCCTTAATATTCCCTTTAAACTAAAAAACAAAACAACAACAACAACAACAACAAACCCCACACAAGACCAAACAAACATACAACACAAACAACAAAAAAGCCTTGCCATGTTTGGCATGGCTTGGCCTTCAGAAAAATTTTGCTTCTTGGTTTTTGAGTGCATCAAGATGAGAGGGTGATCAAGAGTCCAAAACTGTCCCACCTTTTAAGTGCAGAAGCCCTCAGTCAGGTGCCATGAGGGAATTCAGGGGCAGAAATTAGGTTCCTCAGCAGGAAGAAAAGCCTGTCCCTGCCTGCAGCAGAGACATGCCTCCCATCTGCTCTTGCTGTGATTTCAGGTGACTGCAGACTTCCTTTTGGAAGGTCCCTGACATCACCAGCTTGAAGGCAGATGGCACTTGCAGGCAGCCACAGCACCTTTGCCATAGTAAAGGAAAGCCAGATTCTTACAATCGGGATGAAAGGATTTACCATGGGGAAGCAAGGACAGGAATACAAGTTCATCCTCCCTAGGATTCCTCAGATGTAAAGGGACTGAGCTGTAAAATGGGCTCATGCTTCAGAAGACTGAAGTTTGCTGGGGCTGTCACACACATACTCTGCACTGCACTGACTGGATCTGGGCATAAAGCAACTGAAACTGTCTTATAATTTTAAATTTGCTTAAACTGACAATCCCGAAAAGTTGCTAATTCATAAAATCAAGTATTTTTAAGCTGAGAAGGAACCTCTGTAACAATCCTCATGTGTCCTCCTCCACCAGTTACTGTGGCAACACGTCCATGACTTCTGGCTGAGCTACCATGTCTTAGAAAGTCATCCATCTTCCACTGAAGCACTGGTAGCCTAAGGGGCCCTGTCAAGTGATGGAGAATTCATCACATCCTTCCAGAGTCACAGTGGTTAATTACATTTCTTGTTTAAAAAATATAGGTTGTCTCCATTCTAGTTTGACTTTGTCCAGCTTCAGCTTTCAATCCTTCCCAGCTCTGGTGGAGACATGTCTCTGTGTCCCCTTGTGAGAATCACGTTCTCAGAGTACACGTCTCAGTGACAAGTGTAACAGTGATTTAAATTATTCATTACTGTAAAAAATCAGAACATTCTTATCGGTTAAACCATTAAAATTTTGCCACGAATCCTGTGGTCTCAATAACGCGGCAAGGAGTTCCACAGACTAAAACACTCCTAAATATGGAGAAATACAATTTATCTGCACTGTGGGTCCACCTGGAAAAATTAGCCCTACACAAATCAACCCAACGGAGTGACAGAATGTAAAAGGGACTGCAGTAAATTGAAGGGCAACAGCAGTACCTGGAAATTAGGGATGGGGTTTAACGTTGGCAGCCAGGCTGATCTTGGGTTTTCTTGGTAACGGAAAGGGCCATTAAATGCCTGAGTAATGGCACTCAGATTGAAGGCACACACTGCTGAGGCAGCTATGCTGTTTCTGGAAAAGGGGAGAAAAAAAATCAATTTAATCATTAGAACATTGACATTTTCATCATAACAGACATCAAACTCCACTCAAATAAAATACATGTAAATTGCTAGGTAGATGTACAGTGATGCCAATCTCTCAGAGAGTAAAAATAAATAAATAAGCTGTAAAATGCAGATGACTTGCGTGACAATTTTGAGAATGAATTTTAAGTTTGGTTTTAAAATGTCAGTGATTTAAGGGCCATGGGAGCAGTTTTGACAAGAAAGGTGAATACAGTTTAATTTGCATGGATTATTTGTGTTTGGTTTTATTTTTATTTTTTTAACAACCCATCTATCTTTATTGATTACAAACAACCTGATTTTTAATCTCTTGGTGTTTCTCAAGGTGAAATGCTGTTTTTACAGGTTCCTGAAATCTTCAGCTATAAAATATATCACATAATATTATACATATATATATGCAGAGGAAGGGAAAGGGTGACAGTGAAAACCAGGCTGGTTGTGACAGCAGCTCAGCACACATAAAGGTCTTGCTAACTCATGAAAGCCTCTGTTTCCAATGACCACAGTTCACTTCTTTGTTTTCCCAGCTGGGAAGAGCATCTGTCTAAGGCAGACTGTTCACCACGCACACACCAGCCAGGGGAGGCACAGCTAGGCAAATGCTGATGTAGGAAGGACTCTTTGGAAGGAAATTTGTTTTAGGGATGCTCTGCTGCCCAATTAGACTGGCACACAGATCTGCTGGCCTTTGCTGTTCCATTTCAGTCCTGGAGGACCAGTTTCTGCAAGGTCCTCAGCCAGCTCAGTGCCTTTACCTCAAGAGGCACTTCCTAGATGGTGACGGCACCTCAGTGAAATCAGTCCAAAGAAGGACATTTGATAAATGGTAACCTGAAATTCAAACCTGCTGCCAGTTCATCCCTTCCCCTCTGCCTTTTTTTTTTTAAGGAAAACTACAAGGTTAAGAGAAAAGATATCAGAATAAAACTAAAAATAGAGCTAGCATAAGAGACTGACTCGTCACGGTGCCTCTTAAATAACCCAAGTCCTGCTGTATGTATCTTTCTGCTAATTAAAGCAATTTGAATTCTCTGAAAAGAACACATTTATTTTTACTAAGCCAATAATTACACTCTCTTGCACACAAAAAAGCCTTTCTCCTCAATCCCAGGCTGGAAAGCTGAGAAACAGATTCTTTTACAGCATTCTTTTACTGCTTTCTTCCAAGTAGTACAACATCAGGAAGAACTTCCTGCTTTGCCTTCCCATTCTCTGCTCTGCCCCTGCCCCTTCCATCCCCAGAGTGATGGAGTAGCTCACTTTGGACATGTCAAAGCAACTCCAAGCAAACCTTTCTCCACTTTTGTCTGAACACTGCTGACGCAAAGCTCGCAGATGGCAGCTCTTAAGACAAAGCTAATGATGGATGGCAAGTAAATGCCTTGAGGCAAACACAGAAAAAAAATGAGAAAGAAAGTAAAAAAGGAAAAGAAAGAATAAAATTCCACTAATCTAACAAAAATACATAGGAAAATACCCCAGATATTTTTAGGGCCTTCCTAAGGACTCCATAGTTTAGCCCTTTCCCTTTGGCTGGGAAGGACAAAGGAAAGAGGTTTTCCATTAAATCTGTGGCCCATTTTCCTTTTCATCTGTGGCCTGGCGTATTTCCCATCCCTCCTTATGAAAAGTTTGATCCCAGTCTGAGGCCAGTGACACCAACTGGTGCAGCTAGCCTCTGTGTTTTCCTGGTGTGAAGTGAACCTCCTTTATTCCCATATCCTACCTCCTATGATTAACTAGCTGGTTTAGAGAATGGGTTAAGTTCAAGCAGGTTTTAACGTTGTCCCTATTACCTCCCAGAAAAATTTTAATAAAAACATCTTAAATATTTCATCAGCAGCTTCCCCCAAAAGCTCTCTTTCCCACTGATTCAGCTGGGTATAACATAACATGAAGCAATAAATCTATGCGTGGGTGTTACCAAACCCACTAATTCCCCTTTGTTAGAAGATGACCTTAAATTCATTAATTATGAACCTTCCAAAATAAAAAATACCTGTAAACAAAAAATAACATAGTTTTGTGATGCATTGGTATTTATTGTAAAGAAACTCAGACTGTTGCATACATTAACCCTCTTTGGTATGCAGAGCTCATGCAGCATGATCTAAGTCCCAGTGGAAGTTAAAAGAATAATTACCATTATTTCTCTAGTTGGATGACAAATTGGAATATTTTCTGTTTGAACTCTCAAAAGAACACCATGTTGTAGACCCGAAATGCTATTTGATCTAACTTTAGCTATTATCAATAACTAATTTCTTCAATTACAGAAATGTTACATCTTATATTGTGTCCAGAAGATACAAGATACAGGAGAGGATGTACATCCCTCATGTATGAAGAGTGACTTAAGCGTACTCACAGGAGACAGATAATACTTATCACGTCTCATGTTAAACCTGGGTGACAGACTCAGAAGAAATGAACTGTTTCAACCAGAGCTAGTCTATGTCTCCCCCCTTATAGTCCAAAAACATCACCATTTTGACAAATAAAATACAGTTATTAGTAATTTTCTCATTTCCAACTTTTGTTCTTGGCTGGATGAATGAACAAGTGGATAGATAAAACATTATCACTATAGGCACAGAAGTCCTCTCAAATTGCAAAAAAAAAAAAAAAGAAAGGTCCACTCAAGTGCCCAAAGCAGTAGGCAGGCTTCCTTTTAATGTTCAGGATGTTTGGCTAACGTCCTCTAAATGTTTTTAGAGAATGACTCATGTGCCTTTCAGTTGGAGAACAGATCTTCCCCAGTGTCCACAGTGAAGGTGCAGTGCTCAATCATGTTCATTTTTTCCAGTTGCTTCTTCATTGGCTCACTTTTGACTGACGTTGGCAATGGTGTTTTTTTTTTTGTTGGAGCAGAAACAAAACATGAAGATGGATAAGGGTGGCCAAACACCTCCCTATTTCCCGGAATTTACGGAGTGGGAATAACATTTGGGATCTGTTGACTCACAGTGAAACTCCCAACAGTGTTTTAGCTCAAGAAGTTGGGGCTGATGCTTTGTGACTTCAAGGGCTGAAGTTCAAGCCCAGTCACCCCAGCAGGTGACACATTAAAACAGGAAGGCTTGTGCTTCAGCAGGGTTTCACTTCTTTACTGTGGGCTTCTTGGGAACAGGCCCTTATTCACATTGCACAGTACACCACTGCACACAAAACCCCCAAAGAAGTTTGCTACCCACCATGAGGAAGGTACTTGGAGCATTTGCTGTGAGGAGTAACCACTCAGATTTTCATTCTCTAGTTTACACATCAGGCTAACACCCCCCTGGAGAACATGTATTATTGAAACTCAATACCAGGCAGACTGGTTATAGCTCGAAACTTATCATCCTAGCCTTGGGCGTCAGAGAAAAAGTTATTTGAGTTTTCCCGACTTAAAAATATACATTATGAGTTTTTTAATATATTTTTTAATTAACTCCTCTCCTCTTTCTGCTTTCACAGCTACACTAAATCATTCCAATTACAAGTTTTTTCAATATCAAGCCAAGAAGAGGTGATTATGAAGTATCAGAAATCATGCCTTCCTCTCAGAGTTTCAACGCTGCTTTTGATTTGTGGACCTGAAACAGTCTGTAGCAGAGGCTAAGCACCCCTTGGAAATGTCAAATGCCTTGTGGCCTGCATGACCTTGTTATTACAGTGTTGTTCAACAGCAATATACGTTGATTTCAGTCTAGGTCGTTGTGATCCCATCTGCCTCATTCTTCTCCTTCCAGTCCTTCATTCCCAAGCGTATGGACCAGTCATGGTTCAATATTTGCACAGTTGTGTCAGATTGTCCAGGCACTTAGCCTGGTTGAAAATCACTTATACTTTTCTGTTGGATCATTTTCAGATCATCCCCCTGAACTACACAAGTTGCATTGTCACTACAAAAAGTCAGTAGTCTGTTCACTGCCCAGGTTTATGTCAAATTAAGTTACGCTAGAACTGCACAGTCACCTTTTATGGACTCCAGGAATCTATAAACCATGGATTAAAAACATAGTCCTGAAGGCTATGTTGCTGTGACGGATATCACAGATCTATCCCTTCCTGTTAACCAAAGGATCTTTCTAAAATTATTGCTCAGACTGTCTAAGAAATCAATATATTGTCAGCCTCAGACTGCTGGGTATAGAAGAAGAGCAGTAAAACCAGTACAGCTTACACATTAGTAGTGAAGACACCATAGATCAGATCTTGCTCAGGAAGGTAGAAGGTGCTTTGCAATTCATTGTAATAGAAAGGGATTTCTCCAGCACGGGAGCAGTTCAGTCTGGCCTTCATGAAGGTTGTCCATGTGTCCTCCAGCAAAAATCTCCCTCCAATATCATTTTTGCAAACCCTTGCCACACGAGAATACACTGTTTTCCCACAGTCATGTTCCACTGCATTCTCACGGAAGAAGAAGTAGGTGAACAAACCAATGTCATAGGCAGCAATAAAGTTAGGCTCTGAAAAACAAACATTTGAAGAGATTTATACAGGTTAGAAATCAATCAGTGCTCACTGACTTGCTCACTGCATTGCGCTGCCAGCTCCCTTTATGCAGGCTGTCAAGGCTGGGACCACAAGGAGTTGGAGTTAGCAGAGGACATAAAATAAGTAGATAGGAATAATGATATATTGGTATATAACTTTAGTACCTTTTTTCAGATCTTGGAAAGACCCCATAGTTTCCCCACTTTACTGGCAAAGCTACTACTGATTTCAGAGAAAGTAGAGTTCAACACTTTGCATATGCATGACTATTCTCTGTACCTATACTCATTTTACAACATAAAGTCTTCCCATTGGGCTCCTTCACCTATTCGCTTCTGAAGTGCACCTTATGATGTGTTAAATATGCTGCATGCATCCGCCCAATTCCCCAGGCTGCTGCACTGAAACATTCAACCTACTCTCCCAGTACAGTCACATCTGGCTTTTATCATGAAACCTTTCCAGTTTCTAGGCACAAAAGATTATCTTATGTCCATAAAACAAACCCATGACACAGACTGGCAGCAGTGAAACAAGCTCTCCTTAGTGCATTTTTTCCTAGAATTATTGTTATTATTTTCACAAGAATTGAAAATAACCTGGAATTGGTCTAGTAGGGAATATTTTAATTGGGTATTTAACAAGGCTTTAAAGTGTATAGTCTTTTATCCTAACAGTTTCTTTGGCAAAGGGAAAAGGTTGGTCAATGAATAATATTTGACCAAACAGAGAAAAAAACCCATGTTGGTTTTATAGGGTGCTTTTACAGTGTTCTTTTCTGAGTAATGCTCAAAGGAAGAAGAAAAAAGGGAAGAACAGAATTCCTTTAATGCTGCAGCCCAGGAGTGAAAGAACAGAGTTGTGGTTGAGGGAGAGGCAGGCTGCTGCTCCTGCACAGCAGGTTTGGGAGGCAGATGATGGTACAGAAGGAAGGGCACTGCAAAACATCTCTCATCAAACTTTCTCCTTCAAATAAATCGTGAACCTTAAAGGGACTGTTGTGATCACCAATCTGACCTTCTGTCTAACATGAACGAGAGAATTTCACCCTGTAATTCCACCACTGGATCCTGTAACTAACAGGTGAATTAGACCACATCTTTTGAAGGAGATCTGATCTTACTGGACAATGTCACATGGCTTTACATCCATCACTTTCCTCAGTGACTTGTTCAAATGACTAAAGACTGACCCAGCTGCAACCTGTACTTCTTTTCCCATTTGACATTATCTGGTTTCAGCTTCCAATCACAGGTGCTTGTCATGACTTGTCTGCTAGATTAAAGAACTTTATCCTGTCCAAAATCTTCTCTTGATGTAAGTACTTCCATATCATGAACAAAACACCTTTTATCTCCTTTTCAGAAAGATAAATAAATTGAGCTCCTTAAGTCTCTCACTGTGAGGCAGGCTTTCCAAGCATCAAATCACTGCAAGGCTCTTCTCTGAATCACCTTCAAGCTTTCTGTTTCTTGTTGAAAAGTGGCCAGAACAGGATGAAATTACTCCAATGTCACCAATGCTGCACCAGGTTATAAATCCAAGAGTCACATTAGTTTCTCCAGTCACATACTAGAACCTCAGTCACTGTCTTTCTTAAACTCCCCTCTTACCATGTGGATTCCTTCTGAATCTTGCATTCATGTGCAGACAAGAGGAACCTACTTCTAATGAGTGTATATGAGCTGTGATGCTTCTTGGTCCTAATTCACAGTCTTGCCTGATGACATCCTTTTCCTAAATTTCCGGGTCTCCATACTGGCTTCAGTATGCCTGCAGAAGTCTTAGTTCAGTCTCTTTAAGCTCCAGACAGTGCACAGTCCCACTGCTCTTATCTTTAATTGAAAGGTCCTGAAATCTAATAGAAAGATTCTGACTATACTGTCAATTTACCTGGGTAAAAGGAGAGAGGGGGAATATTGGGATCTCCATCACTACACTCTGCTCAGACAAGAAGTGCTTTGCCCCAGTCAGAACTGCGTGGACTCAGTGCAGGGATTACTGGTTGAAATTCTATAGCTTGCTTCATGCAGGGTATTATCACACTGGGGTAAGAGCTGCTTTTAATAACTATAAATCCACATCAGCATGAATTCACATGGAACATAATGTGCTGTGAAATTTCTCATTTTTGGACTGATCTTGCACTGAAACCAACCATGTTCAGCTGAGTCAGTGGAAGTAGAGAGTGCTTATCATTCTGCAGAACTGGGTCAACAATACGATGCTTTAAGTTGGTTTTTATCTTCAGATCTTTGAGTGGTTTTCTTGTTAAAATGATATATTTGGTCATCTCACAAGACAGAGACCCATATATATGTTAAGTAACCTGTAAGACCCACTTTCTGTATTCTAAATCAACTTCTCCGAAATACTTTCGGGCTCTTTTTAAATGTCTTCCAAGCTGCATTGATTATTGCACTGGAAGCCCTTCCCCATCATACCTCTGGATCTCAATATGAAAAGAGAGGGAAAGATTTACAAGCCTGTCAAGTTGACTTTAGTACATCTTTTGCTCAGATGTGACCCACATGACTTTACCATTGAGCCATTTGGAGTTGTATTGTGCTGTCCTAAGTGGGGGAACATTTCCAAGGCTGCGGTAAATAGCAGGATCCCGTCCAGAAAAATCAATCACAGTTGCAGCATACAGTTCTCCTCGTGATGTAATCACAGCTGTCGAGTTATGCCGAGGGTCATATGGGCACCGAGCCACTCCATTAATTCTGTCAATGATTTTGCTGAGATTTCCTACCTGTATTTAAAAGAAAAGAGAACTTAAAGAGCATCTGGTTTTCTTACTGACATAGAGAATTTAGTTTGCCCATGAGTATCTACAAGCAGAACTCTGATTTTAAAAAAACAGGTAACTGTGAGAATGTAATGTCAGTAATGACTATAAATTGATCTTTACATCCGTCATTTGCCAATATAAGAAGTTGTGTCTGAGCCTCACTGATTCTATTGCTTTGTACGAAGGGTAAATCCACTGCCAATAAAGCCCCAACGTGCTCGGTGTAATCAGGTGCTCCTGGTGCTAGCACAGGTTTCTAATCTTCCATAGACACCCCCTGAATACATACTGCCATTAAAAACCAAAAAAATAAACATTGCCCTGGGCCTGCTCCTGCCTCTGTTGCAGCCAAAGGGAGTTTTGTCATTTATTTTAAAGTAACTTCTAAGTATTCAGCTCAGACAGGTAAGCTTGTCTATATTCCCCATTTTCAGCACCATACTCAAGGTTTATGTGAGCAACACTTTGTCCAGGTCCAACTTACCCATAAAACAAGCTTTTAGTTCCCCAACTGCAGATATACTCATTGCCCCAAAGCAGCCCAAAGCGACCCAAAGAAGAAAACCAAAATAATTTCAGGTCAGCTACATTTAGAACATATTCTCTGTAGCCATGATGCCCTGCCAAAATACTGGACTTCCCCAGCGCATACATCCAGCCCTTTCCATTACTGTAAAAGAAGCAAACCAGACCTGTCGACTGGAACACACTGGTGAAAAGGCGTTGGTACCACAGGTAAAAACCTTCTTGCCATAAACAATCAGCACTCGGACATAGTTCTGGCACTCTTCCTATAGGGACACAAGACAAAGACAAAGGATTTTTGAAAATTTTATTACGTTATAAAAATACCTGTGTTGCAGCTGGAATACACCTTCCTCAGCTCTAACTTGGGCTGAGGTTTGTTGCATCAAGCAGTGCACAGCTGTAGGGAGCTAGTGGTCTAAGTGAGCAAGCCCTATTTGCTGGTTATCTCTCTAACCATAGCCCTGCACAGTCCCTGGATAGGATGTTATCCATCAGGTTGACTCTGAGTCTCATAACTACACAAATGGCTCTTTCTGTGCTCTGCTTAGATTGGAAGAGAAATTCTCCCTCTTTCCATGATACTTCTGACCTATTTTCCCAGCAATGCTGCAGCTTTGAAAACATTACCCAGACACAGACTCCAGTGAAGGACAGCGGGTCTGTCTGCACTATAATTCAAACCAATGCCAGCAGGAAAACAGCAGGAACTTCTCTTTAATAGACCAGGCTGGTCAGAATCTCAATCTCATGCTTGAACAGGCTGTGATTTCCTGCCTCCCAGAGGATTGTGTGCTCAGGATTTTCCATGGTGGGAGTTTCTCTGTAAGGCCAGGCCAGTGAGAAATAGCAAATTCTCTCTTCTCAGTTGCATGACCACTTGCTGGTACAAATAGGCAGCTCCCTCCACATGCCAGTCTCCAAAGGTGCAGGGCTCCTGTTGTCCCATGCTGGGGTAGGGGTGGCAGCACAAGGCTGCAGTTGTCATTTTTTTCAGAAAATCACCTTCATGTTGTTAGAAAGAGCCATGGTCTCTTTTCCTCCTCACAGTCTCACATCCAGAGACCTGTGGACTGCAGATCAGGCTAACTGAGAATCTCCTGGAGTTAAGTAGCAGAGGAGAAAGAGGCCACATAAAGTGGGAACTTTCTAACAGTACACACAGGGAAAGGGAGGTGTGAGACTAGCGTGCAACTCCCACAGGCAGAGCAAGAGGGTCGAGAGCCACCTACCCCAAGGTTCATCCAAAGAGCCTTGACAACAGATGTTGTCAGTGAGCCTGACACAGCAGTGAACCTGGCACAGCCTGCCTGCCCCGGCCTCTGGGGCCACCTCAGAGGAAAGGATATGAGGAATAGCTAATGAATGCACCCACCTGGCTCCAAGTGAAGAAAGTCTATTATGTTGTAGAATAAACAGAAAAGGAAACTTAAAAAATAACAAACTCAGCTGGGTTATCCTGGCTGCTTTGCTTTCCTCCGTCCAATAGATCATCATTTGCCACTAAGCTGAGCCTACAGTTGCAGACACCACTTCTCCTTCTGTAAGGAGTGTTCACTTTGCAAGCTTCCCTGTCTCACAGCGCTCCACACTGCTGATCATTTCCCTGAAGACTTCATTTGCAAGTTTCAGCTGTGTAAAAACATCCCCTGGAAAGGAAGGGGCTTGCTTAGCTGTATTACATGCTATCTTCTTTCATTTGCTCTATGGAAATCTACTTGTTGAAGGATTCAGTGCAGACATCCACCAGCGTTAGCCACAGACAAGTGACTGCATGAGCATGACACATTGTGCTTGCTTTTGAATGGAGAAGATCACAGGGACTGCACTCCAGAGCCAGCCCAGGAGTGCTCACCCAGCCCAGGCAGAAGCTACAGGGTGCCACAGGCTTGAGGCTCAGCAGGGTCATCGGGGGTTTACATACCAAAGGTTTGTCACCCAAAAATGAGAGCTTAGATTCATAATAGCTGGGTTGACTCGGCACTTCCAATTTCAGAAGCAGATCAGTCATGGTGACTGTGCATCAGTCCATCAAACAGGACCTTGAGAAGCACTGTACCAAATGCTGTGTTGAGAATAGAGGTCTCACTGCTCCCTTTAACAAGACAAAGGGCTTGCCAGACTCTCTGCCCTCTACTGTCATTGTTTCATAGTGTTGGGAGCCCTCCCATTTATTCCCTGCCCTGGAGATGTCTGTATCTCATGACTGCTTTAAGTAATTCCTCTTTCTGTAGACCACAGTTATTCAATCCCACATAATGTTAAGACCACTATATATTTAAATGCAAAGTAATAGAAATTCTTGAGTGAATGCTATTACAAAAAGCATTACGTCCTCTCCCAACAGAGTTTTGTTTTCAGAATATGACTGATTTGGCATCTAACCCAGAATTCAGCTCTGTACTCAAATTTCACACAATAAGAGAATACCCATATGCTCCCCCTCCACCTGCACCCTTCCCTTCTTTGTGCAGGGTCTAAACACAGCTTCTGACCTAAACCAGCTAAAACCATTTATGTTGCTGGACACTCTCCTGCCTAGCTATACAACGTATTCCTAATTAAAGCCCTGTCCTGCAGAAATCTAAAATCCTAACTTGGAGAATTCTCTTATTTGCACAGAACTGTACTACAGATTAACAAACTTCAATTTCTATAAAAATCTTCCCAGCTTAGAAGATAGCATACAGGAAGAATGTCTCTGAAAGATCATATGCTGCAGTCTACTGCCAGTGATGTATCTATTGCACACTTTTACTCTAGGCTTGGTAGCCTGGCTTGGTGAGGATGCTGGAAGCTAGTATAATCTTGTGTTATTTTAGCCTAATTATGCATGGCTTTATTTGCACCCATTCTGTCCAAAGCAGAAGTCATTTACTGAAATAGAGGAAGAAACCATACTGAGCAAATATATCTGCTGCTGTCTGAACCTGCTCCAGGATACTTCATCTGTGACTTCCAGCCCATTCCCAACTGTGGCAGCAAAGAGCAAAAGAGCACAGTCAGTATGGGTGAGGTGTCAGACTGGAAACATTGGACAGCTGATACTTGTCAGGGTACTGGATACAACAAACTCATTAGTTGGTTTTCATTAGCTGTAAAAGGCAGAAAGGGGGGGGACTAATGGATGTTCTCTACTCTGCTTAGAAACTATGCTACTAGGTGTGGGTCATGTCCAGCTGTAGTTGTTCCTGTGAATTAACTGACCAGGCATTTTCTCTGTCTTACTGATGATCACAGCAGCGCCCCATTCTTCTCGAGGAAGAGCAATGATAATATGCACATTTCATACACTGTTCTCAAAGCTATTTCTACACTTAAAGTAAAGTAAACAGATGTACATTATGTGCCCTGATCTGTCAACCAAAACAATGCAGGTGCAAAACTTGCTGTGGTGACATGCTGAGTTGGAGGAGTTCCTGAAGGGCAGCCACAGAGGTCTAACTACCAGGTCACATCTCTCTAACCTGCCTGACCTGAAAAAATATGGTGCTCATCTCGTGTTTCTTGTTGCTGTACCCATTGACAGTCATGTCAGTCTATGAAAGCCTCCAACAAAAGCAAAGAAGAAACCAAACCACTTAAAAGGTCCAACTTGTGGGATTTTTCTCAAGACACTGTCTGTGAGATTTACATTAGATCCTCTTTCTACCCCGTTCTCCAAATAAATACCAAGGAACAGCCTTCTCTCTGTGTTCTTTAAACCAGCCTGGATTTGCTTTGAAAAGTCATTCAGGACGCTTCTCTCTGCAACAATTCATAGCTGAGGCAACTGAGTAGTAAAATGATCTCACAAACCCCTACAGAAAATAGGAGCTATTTAATGCAGTTTCTTCCATGTGGCTGGAAAACTCCAGGCATCCAGAAGGCAAAATTCAGACAGGCTTTAATATAACCAGAAAATTTGGCAAGTTTGAACCCACCTCTGTCCAGACAAGATGATATTTGGATCCTGCTCTCACATTATGGAGCAGACAGTTAAAGCTGTGTATGATCAGTCTGCAAATCTCATCACCAGAAGATATTACTGGGATCAAGAGATTAAGGATTTAAACAAAGGGGAAGACTGCATATTTATATGGTTAATAAGAATAACTCAGTTATATTAGTTGGGATTATTATTAAATATATGGCAGAGTTGATAAAAACCTGTGGCTCACTGCCAGAGAATTAAGCATATCTCTGATTTTCCTATGAATTGCATGTTACCCACTTTGAGGTTCTTGTTCCTTCCTCAAAATAACCTTCTTTGAGATAAGGCCTTAAATTTAGAAAGTATCGCTTTTTTTCCAGTCTAATGACCCTTGTTTTCCTAGAAAGGAAGAGCACATGACTTCTAATGCTCAACACTACAAGGCACAGGATCTCAGTCAGAACAAATATCCCTGAAGCCACTCCCTCCCACCCCCTTCATTTAAGCCTGTCCTCATTTATTTTATTTTTTGTAACATTTAAAGTAACTGTTCATTCACTGTCTGCGAATGCTCTATGTCCATGACTGTGGACAGGACCAGGTCTCTGGCTCACAGAGATGTCAGGTTGCTCTGAGAGCACATTTTCAAACTCGAGAAGCAGGAGTGGTGCCCTGTTACTGCCTTCATTCATGTGGACAGATCAGCAAATGGAGGGGCTGACCTAGTGCAGCTTCTGTTTGAGGTAAAATTCAAAAAGACAATTTCAGAATGCTGTGAATAATCCAGGTGTAGATGCTTCTTAGTCATTTCTTATGTCATCTCTTAACACCAGCATTCTAAAAGGTTATAAGCCCTTAATCTCATTGTACAAATGCAGTTTTCTTTGAAAGCATAGCCATATATAGGCACTACTTAAAGTTTTAGTTTGAATAAACCACTTTTGTCAGACATTTCCATTTTAATTATTTTTTTAGGCTAACCCTATTTCATCACATACTGATATATTTTAATCATAGATTAAAACCACAGTTATACACTGTATGAGACAAATAGCTGTTGCAGATGGTCTGCCATCCTCAGAGAAACACAAACTCCTGGAGTAAAACCTGGAGTTCAGAGAATTAGCCAGCAGAACTCCAAGTTACCCCTTCAATGACACTTTAGAGTGCAGCAAACATTTAATTTATCTGTTGCAGTTTATCTCGATTTGTTAAAAAATAATCAAGACCTAACTTGCTCTCGAGCACTGCTATTAACACACTTTCAGATATCTACATTTATTTCCTCGGACAAGCAATTCTGCTACTCAGTTTAAGCCAAGGCCCCAACCAAACTGTCTTTCTCCTCTGAGTGCAATAGATAGTAAAGAGAATTGCTAATGATTTTTCCAGCCAAGTTTTCTTTAATGGACTTTAATCAAACTTAGGGGCCGATTCTATATTGATAGTTTAGCAGAAGTAATCAGAATGTTGGTTCAGGTCTCTAGGAGAAGTTACAAAGGGGGAAAAAATAGCTGACAGCCTCCCAGTTATTTCTATTTGCCTGGGGATTTATATGGTGCCTGTCCAACTTGGATGCCTACTATTTTTAAGTGGTGCAGAGTTCCCCAGTTTCACCAGATAAGCAGAGAGTGCATCCTCTGTGTGACACAGAGCCACCTGAAGGCCTGAAACAGCTGATTCCTCCATTAGCTCAGCAATTTCTGCACCAACCCCACTTAGCTGGGCTGAAGCCTTGGGCTGGGATTTTCCTGTAACCTTGTGTGAATCATAAGACCCCACAGCATCAGGGCATCACACAAAAAAAGAAGGAAGCTATACCGGCAACACAGTGGAACAAGTGCTAGCTGGATGCCTATCAGACATTTCTCTCATTTCTTTCTTGCTCCAGAAGTGTTATTAGTGCATCATCTTCCTCCTGGCTACACAAAGCTCTTCAGGGAGCACTTAAGAGATGCCATTTTTCACTGTCATTTTCACAAGTGGTTTCTTTTCACATTTTAAAATGATGTTGTGCTGCTTTTGGAAAGTTTACAAATAATTCGGTGCTCAGACAAAAGAAATACCAAAGTTCTCATGTTTAAAAGCCACAACTTTCCAATGTCAGGCAAAATTCCTTAGATGTGGTGGATGTGGACTGTTATGCAGAGACAAACCAATTACAAACTAGGAGCTGAGCAACTGCTAATGCAATTAAATATACTTCTTCCCCTTCTGCTCTATCCATCACTCATTTTAACTACAACCTCTGGATGAGTTCATTTGGAAGACACAAAATAAAGGCAACATAACACTGACTTTGTTCTCTGCACTGTCTCTCAGTAATGTGGCTGTTTTCCAGGGGATAATTTAAAGGTGCTGATCATGATACATTTTATTAATGTTGGAAAAATAAGAATGATTACTTGTGGAAGCCAGCATGGATCTCCAGAGACGTGGCAAGTAAAGCATGTACACTTCTTTGAAGAAACCACAAGTTTTAGTTGATAAAAATAACATAAATGAAAGAGACCTTTCCAAGGTGTTTGTTTTAATAATGCACAATATACTGCAGAGAGTTAATTTTAAAATCAGTCTCAAGAACTTACACATTACGGTATTAAAATCTGATAAATTACTGGGATGAAAACAGTCCTCAAAGTGAAATCACTCATAAAATTGCTGTTCTAGCAGAGCCCCAGCTAGGGTGGTACCAGCCCAGAATCAACATTTTTCTTAAATAACATTTGTGGATAACCCAAAAATTACAAACGCAGTAATTACCAGTGAAGCCAATGCCTCTCTCTATATTTAGTGATATATGCCAGGATGGTTGGTGAGCTGGATCCAACAAACAAAATACATTTTTGTAAGATATTATGCATTAAAGAAAAAGGAAAAGGGCTTTGTGTATAAGCATGGAGATTACATCCTAGGAGTAGTAACTGTGAAAACGATTTAGTGGTCACAGTGGCCAGGCATTCTGAATGATCTCCTATGGCAGAAGAGCTAACAAAACTGCCATGTATATGAACAGAGGAAGGGGGGAGGCTGTTTTAATCACACTCGGGCATTAGAGAGATTGACAAGAGAATACAGGTGAAAAAATGGAGAAAAAAAATCACACCAAAAATATTCAAGGGCAGTAGAAAAATGACTTAGAGAAAGGCCCTGTGGCTGAATCAGAAACGCCTGCAAACTCCAAACTTCTGGGACAGAATGTGTTTTTTCAAACAATTCTTACTTCAAATTGCAGTTCAGCAGACTGCACCTGCCTCCAAAGCAGCTCTGTGATATTCCACCTGAACAGACTGCAGTGTGTGAGCAGATTCAGTTCTCAGGTGAATTGTATAATGATAAACTCTTAACTGCAAACATGCATTGAATCCCACACAGCCGAATGCCAGCGGCTCACCGCTGAGCACTCAGACTAAGCCAACCTGCCTGGCCTCAGACCCCACTGCAAGATGCTACCCCTAGCTTGCCACCACTCTGCTGCTTGATGTATCACAAATTGTGTCCTCTCCAGCAGTGAAATCACCTTTAAATTTCCTGCAGAGCAAGTGTAATAACTTGGACAGGGGGCCTTTGAAATGGCTCGCTCGGTGGTGCTTATACACATGTGGTGGTAGAGCTAACTGCTGCAAATTTACAGGCTCAAGCTGGTGTCAGATGCTCCCTGTGTGGATTTCACATGTTCCAAATATATTTACCCATAACATCATTATACCATTGAAAAACTCACCTCTGTTTTCCCTTTACTTTGACAGGACCTCCTGGTGTCTTCATCTGAACCCCATGCTGTTGCCTGAAAAACCAAAATGCACAAGTCACATAAGAATGCCACCAGCCACCATGTCTGGAGACTCCCAAAACAAGAGCAAGCATCTCCAGCCAATTTACACAGCCCAATTTAAAAGCAGCATTGTGACAGTAAACATGTATCTTGCTCCCACTGTGCTCACAGTGCACACAAATGATAAAGAGATGAGAAGTCCAGAGGCAGAAGCAACTGGAATGTTCACAGAGGACAGACTTTAATTTACATGTAAATACAACTTCTGATCACCATTCAGCTGGAAGGTCCAAGATATAAACCCCACACACCAAGTCATCACCTTCTTTTCAAGGAGGACAGTGCTGTATAAAACTCACCAGCTTTCATTGCCAAAACAAAAACATTCCCTACAGCAAAGTCCAGCAGTTCTGCACAAATCTGTTGGTCTTCTTAAATTTACCCCCAAGATTATTACCTTTTAAATAACCCTGCAGTGAAGCAAGCTGGATAAAACCACTGGGAGCTGGGGAAGTGGGGAGAAAGGTTGATGGTGATTTGTGATGCCAGAAAAGTGGGGTCAGGTCCTGAGATTGAGTAAAACACATCAGTGCTGAGGGCACTGTTGACTGGGGTTTGAGAACGTGTGGGGTCCCCAGTTGGCTCTGACTGACTGCTTCAGAACACAAAAAGTCAAGACCAGAAAAGCTGCACTAGAGAGAACTTTTAGATTTAAAATATTCAGCAACATACCCAGCCCAAATTTTCCCCCCTTCAGCACTTTTTAAAAATAGTCTTAACAAATTCAAGCAGGTATAGTTAGCTGGAGGTGAAAATACAAATAAACATCCATACTATACATAATACATCATTCTGAGTACAAGAAAAATAGCTCTGTTACATAAGGAAAGGCCAGGTTCACAAAGTTCAGATACAGATCCAAAGCTCCCCTAACAGAGCCAGGTTTTCTTTATTTTCCTCAGTCCATTACCAACAAAGGAAATGGTTTCAAAGTTCGGTCCAGATCTGAACTCTTCTTGAACCTTCTCACTGCAGCCAATATATTTTTTAAAACCTAGGCTTCCATAGAAATTGTCCCCTCGGCACATGATAAATCCAGCTTTTTTGCTGGAGAGAGTTGGGAAACCACTGAGAAGAGAGGATGAATTTTCCTACTCCCAGCTCAGGTCCATGAAGACACTCATTCAGAACTACAAAAAATGCCACCACCCAGGAAATGCATTCATATACAACATTTGGGGAAGGGATATCTCTACTTCCTTAAAAAAAAAAAGAAAAAAGGCATCTCTCCATTAGCTGAGCATTCCATTCAATTTGGCTTGAAGTAAGACTTTATGAGCACAGTCAAAGATCTGGTCGGAGAAGGGAAGAGTACAGATCTTTCCCTGGGAGTCACTAGGGGAATACCTTCCCATGTACTGCAACCCAATCCAGGCTGAAGGCCAAAAGCTTGTGCTTCAGACGTGTTTTTTTGAGACCTGGGATAAGTCCTTGCTGGAAAGGATCATTAAGCTGTATCCTGAGAGGGTATATGTCACTGGATGAGAGAGCTCACATAGTAAGCCATCATAGGAGAGCAAGGAATTTTGAATGGTGACTCCTAGGAGCCCTTGACATCTGCAACACAACTGCACAGCAGTATTTTGATCCCCAGTCCCAGCTCTAGCCCATATTCACCTAACCACAATATCTTTGCACCTTGGATCATATTTCTGACAATCTTAATATAAAAAAAAATAAAAAGAAAGAAAGAAAAAAAAATTCAGAAAATAGGTCACATATTAGGTGGCCCTTCTTCCCATTTAAAAAAAAACAGAGACGGAGCTCCATTATAGAGCCCAGTTTACCCTAACAGTGCTTGACAGGACAAAATGAAAACAAAAATTGTTGGTTACTTCAGCAATCGATTCTTCTCCGCAAATACTCTGGGTCTTCTGGGGTTACAGCAATGCAACAGAAGAATTTGGCTTCCCAGAGGACACCCAGCTCTTCCTGCCAGACACCTGCACTGCAGAACTTCGAGGCATTTTGCAAACATAGCCCAAGTCAGAGCACTGTTTCTTTTTACTAGGCACATTGCCCTTCAGCTTTCTGAAGCACTACCTTGATGAGTCTAGAGATAACAGAAGATCTTGGTGACGGCCCAAATTATAGGAACATGTTGTTTGTGACTGCATCATTAGTCAGGGTGCACTTCATTAGAGCTAAGAGGATAATTAAGCAATATGGCAATCTAGAGCATGTTTTACAAGTCCCACACATGTCTTTGGCAGGACAGGGAGGAGTTAGTTTGTGGGCTAAGTAACTCCAATGACCTCTGGTGACTCAAAGAAAATATTCATGACCCTGTAAAGCAGAACATCTTAACAATAATAAAAGTATAACTGCAAAGCAAAGCAGCTAATGTGCATTTAAATATTTGTACTGCAAGGTCCACTGACCTACAGCCTAGACAAGTCCTTGTGCTGGGATCCCAAAGGCCTGCACACATCTGTGGTCAGGGCCTTTGGGTTGGACCTGGGCAGGCTCAGACCTCTGATCTTGAGGCTTTCACATAAGTTTTCCAGCATTGTTTGGTTTCTTTGTTTGACTGATCGGCTGCCTTTTCGGACCAAATGTCCCACCCTCATCATCCCTGTTGCCTTGGGCTCCTCTGTGCAAACTCCCTGTGTAATGCTGGTGCTCCGTGTCCTCTCACTGGTATGTCCAACCCAAGCCCCACCTCCACAGATGAAGATATGTTCTTCCTCTGCCTTAGATTTCATTCTGCCCCAGTATCAAACTACATCCTGGACATTTGACAGAGAAACTTTCAGAAAGATCTCTCTTCTGGAGTGCATCTGTATGTACCCATATAGTTCTCAGTGAGGCAGAGACCTACTTAACACTTGCATAACACCACAGCACTGTAGGAGATGCTTTGTACTTTCACCTCCTTACCTGATCATAATGCTTCTCAAAAGCCAGCTTCTTGAACAATGACTTAGGTGCCTCCCCTCCCTTTCTTCATCTCCCTCAATAAACCAGATTAATATTTTTTTTTTCCCCCCGCTACTGAAACTGCCTCTGCACACTTGGATGAGATACAAACTCTATCCACCAGATGTTTTTGGTCACTCTGTTGGGTCATCATCCTGAATTTATGATTAATTTTCTCAGTTGTCTAAGACACTTAAGTTTCCCAGCCCCAGAAAACACATCTGGGATTATTTTTATTCCTCCTGTGACATCAGTCAGTCAAAAGCAGTAGACATCTCTGGACCCACATGCAATAAGACAACTTCCATAGCATAGGTCATGGAAACAGAGTCTGGATGAAGATGTGACAAACCTGGAGCAAGGCTACCTACACATACAGGACGATATGTGCTTTCTCCAAGCCCTGTTTGCCATGTGCTTAAGTAACAAAGCTGAGACTGTTTTAGGTCAGAGTGTCAGCAATTCCTCCCCTACGTCCTTAACAAGAGGTAAAAAAAAAGGGAGGTGAGCTGGTGTTTGTGTATTATTTCTGCATTTTTAGGAAGTCACATGGAGGAGACAATCACAGAGAAGCAGTCGCGTGTACAACTACATGTACCTGATGCAATATTGCTCAACTAGAAATTAACAGAAATGGGTCACAATAGCTAAGTTCAATACATATCTGAATATTCAAATCTCACACCCAGACACAGAAAGAACCAGTTAATGTCTCTCCCAATAAATTATGAGCATCATGGTTTGCTCCCAGTTCAGACTGCAGATCAACAGTGCTCTAGAAATTCGATCTGATCATGTGCTGTCAAATCAGTTATACAGCACACACTGCTGAGAGAAGCTTTCCGGATACATTTATTTAATTACCAGCACATCCCAGTGTTTTTATCCAAAGTACCTGCCTGTCAGTATAGAGTCCTGTTATCAATAGCTATATGCATCCTCAACTGTTGATGTGGAAATCTCTTTAGACTTCTATAGACCAACTTTTACATTCAGGCCAGGAATTTATAATTACTTCAAACACCACATATGAATTTAATAGATTAAGCATACACTAATCCCTTCCCTGTACTTGCACAACAGAGTTTGCAAGTTTTCGTGCAAAACCAGAACACTGCTTTAAAACTGGAAAGTTAAAATTAGAAGAGAATATGTTACATGCATATTTATCAGGTAAATTAAACCTGTTGTTAATTTCTAAGATCTTTTACTACAAACCTATCCATCTGTTACCAATCTCACTTCCATTAAATAAGTGCTCCATGAAAACCACTGGAAGCCTTCCATACCTGCAGACAGACCCACAATCATGTTGTCTCCTATTAGGAGAAAAAAGTGTAACACCAGAATGTACCCTGTGTATGTTTAAAAGGAGACAAAACCCCCCTGAAGTACAAGCTTGTACTTGAGTACTGAAAAAAAAAAACCTAACCCACCAAAAATCAGGGACTGATTCTGTGAGATGCCAGCATTTTCTAGAAGGTACTGTGTTCCTCAGGCTTCTGCTGTTGTCAGCAGAAGCAGAAGCAAAAGCAGCACCTTGTGTCCCAGGCCCAGGTCTGCAGCAATTGCTGACAGCAGGAACTTCCATTTCCATCAACCCTCCCCAGTGCCCATAGGAGACTTCTCAATCTGCCCACAGAATATGAGGTGATTTTGGTTCTCTGCTTGTGCTGTGCTGGGCACCCTGATCAGAATCTGCCAGTCACATCACCCTTTGCTGAGTTATGCATGAGGAAGGAGGGCAGGAGGTGCTGTGGTATGACAGCTATTGTGCACTAGAGACCTGAGCTGGCAGAGTCATTTCCTTCCCTGTGTATTTATTTACATCTTCTTTTACAGTAACTGTACAAGGCACTAGTATGTTGAGAGAAATGTAGCTCTGGAAAAAAAAATAAACACTTGCTTTGAAGGCAGCTTCCTGGATTCCTTATACAGGCCAAAATCTCTGCATTTCTTGTTTACATTTACAAATTTTTTTTGGATCAGCTCATTTCACAGCAAGGCATGGAAACTTTTTTCCAAGTTTAGGG